CTATTTTAAAACAGTTCAGGGGGGTGATAGGACCCCGTAAAGTTTAAGTGTGTAGTTGAGAATCCGGTAATAGGTTGGGGGGCATTTGACCATTTTCTCCGATAAATTTCTTCAGAAATTCTACATAACCGTCTCTTACCCATAATCAAAGAACCTTTAAATAAATTTAGTTATTACTCCCAAATCAAAATAATAAAATAAAGAATTTAGAAAATCAATTTTTTTTATCGGAACCCATTTCAAACAAACACAAAATTTCAATTTCCAACACCTTCACAAGCTCTCTCTCAAACGTTAATTCTAATTTCACATTCTTGAATTTAACTAGAAATTGGGATATTTTTGAAATGGGGCATAAAAAATTCAATTGGGTCATAATTTTTTTCAATTAGATTAATTTCAATGTTTTAATTTGGTTTGCTACTTTCACCAACATTAAGAAAAGAAAAAAATTGAATTGAAAATTTATGGCTTGCCCATATACTACTTTTGGTATATCCCTTCATAAGCCCCCAACATGAGTAAAATGTGTAGCAGTGAACTTTGAGAGAAATTGTGGGGAATAGGATAAAGATATTGGTCATAGAAACTTTTACTCGTCGGAAAATTTTTTACCGTCTTTTCTCTTGTCGGAATGTCAATGGATGGGAAGTGGGTCTGATAATGGTGATGTTCTTAATGATAATGGAGGGTTTCTAATGGAGCATATAATAAATAAATAAGAAGTAAGAAAAATAATTCATTTATTATATTTATTAGGTGGCATTGACATGGCACTGACATAGCGGCATGTGTTACACCACAATACTCATGAGTGACTATGTCATTTTAGGGTGGAATTTATTTCCTTATAAAATAGTTCAGGAGGGTAATCGGACCCCCATAAAGTATGAGTATGTAGTTGGAAATCCGACCATAGATTGGGGGGGGGGGGTTTGATCATTTTCTCGTTTAACATGAAGTCTATTTTCTAACTTTTGGATATGTAAAGCTGTTTTTGAGAGAATGGAGAGTAGTTTTTTTTTTTAAAATGAAGAAGGTAAGCTGCAAGTTTTTTTATAAGAAAGGTGAAAAAGAACTTGGATTATAGATATTTTTTTTAAAGAAAACTTCACACATATGGATATACTTTGCTACTATATATAATAAAGGCATAATATATAAATATGCCCTTTAATTTGTTCTCGTTTCATATTTATTCTCTTCAATTTTGGTGTACACAAATATACACTTAAACTTGTATATGTAAAGTAGAACAAATAGACATGCATGTCCTACGTGACATCCTACATGGTAATTTGTGTAATACATGGTGTTCTTCGTGTATTATGAAACATAGGACTCATGTGACTACTTGTTCAACTTTATACAAGTTTAAGTGTACTTGTGCACACCAAAAATTGGAGGGCATAAATGTGAAATAAGATCAACTTAAAGAACATATTTATGTATTAAACCTATAATAAATAGAGCCAAAAAAAAATTGGTGCCTAAATGTTTATCGAGAAAACAGTTCAATAGAATTACATGAGGTCAAAGACACGCATCTTAATTTAACTTGTTAGATTATTTAGCAGTTGAATATATTGATGAAAGAAAATAAAAAATAATAATAAATGAGATGGCATGTCACGACCCAAAAATGGACGTGATGACACTTGTCTATCCCACCAAGACAAGTCAGCCTCAACCCAACGAAATGAAAGAAATGTGGAAAGATAGAATAAGAACAAGACAAAAGCGGAAAACTTATTATTTCTATTAACACACCAAAACCTGATTGTCACATGTACAACCCACTATTGTAGATACATAATTCGAAAGATAAATACAAGTCACAATGTCTTTGTTTCTCAAGTAGAACAAAGCATACAGTGAAGGAACAAGAGGGATCGAAACCTACACAAGTGTGGAAGCAAGGAGTGAGTACCACCGACATGGTACCCAACAAGGGACCTAAACAAACAAGGCAACCTAGCTAGAATCAAATTCTTCAATCATCCCAATCAAACCTCCTTAAACTACAACCTGCATAGAAATCAGTCCAACCTAACAGTTTTACAATACACAGTTCACAAAGCTCAATATTCACAGTCTAAAAGTCATAAGTGAACAACCAACACGTATCAATTATGACAATCACAAGTATCAAGAAGATTATTCACAAGTACAACTCACATCAATCACGATTACAAGTAGGTCAATCATAAGCATCAAAATGCATCAAAACACAATAATAAATTATCGCCGAAACCATTTCTCATCGACTTTATGTCATATCACTAGTTGGAACCATTTCTCATCGGGTTTATATCATATTACTAGCCAAAATCATTTCCCATCGAATTTATATCACTATCCAGAAATGACCTCAGCATCACAAACACTTTCTGGAAATAACCTCGACATCATAACACTTGCCAAAAATGACATCGGCATCATAACACTTGTCGAAAATGACCTCGGCATCATAATCCTCATATATCTATCACAGTTTACAATAATTAATACACACAAACAATATCACACCACACGGAAAAGAGAACAATTCATGCAATTTAAGTCCACTTTCATGTTATCAAGCATTTCATCAATCAATCAATAAGAGTTATAGTTCACAAACATTATGATCATCACATATCCTTTTCATTTCGGCCTCTTTTTATTCATTAAGATCTATTAAGTGGACAACAACCTTTCACTTCATTCCCATTACTCCCAACACACAAACAACGAAGGGGATACACCTACTAGTATACAAGGTTTAGGAGATCACTTGTCATAATTTAATTAATTAATCACTCCAAGAGTTGAGTCTTCCCTTCCGACCAATATCCAAAGCCACACAATCTATAAAAATCAAGTATTCACAATAAATTTTCTCAAAACAACAATACTCACATCAATTTCCTTGAAAAATGGGTCAATCAACCAGAAACCCAATTTCAAAAACAAGGTTTGAATTTAAAATTCAATACTTGAAAATGTTACTTAAGGCATTAGGAACTTATTAGTGAAAATCATTTCAAAAAAGGATTCAAAATCAGTTCACAATCTCAATTTTAGTTTAGAACTCGAGTTCTTGAAAAAACTTGTCATTTACCAATCAAAATCCCAAATTTTGATGTTAAAATCAATAAATAATCAAATGAAAATGAAGTATTATGATCACAAAATCTTACCCAAATGATTTACCATAAGAAATCATTTCAAAATCGCCTCCAAGGGTTTTGTCAAGCTCAAAAATGGAAAATGAGACTTAAACCCCAAAATTTTCAGACTAAAACCCTTCTCTGATGTCGTTTAAGCGACCATAGGTTCACTTAGGTGAACCCCACAAAAATCATGGATTTCTCTTTCGCGATCATCGTGACCCATGGTTTGCTAAAGCGAACCTTGCCACTAGTCCAGCCTTCGCTTCCACGATGACCCATTTGTTAACGTGAAGATCGTGAAAGCGGAGGACCCCTCGCGATCGCGATAAACATAGACATTAGTAAAATCATCCAACTTTCAAAACATCGGAACCCCGTACACACAAACCACATATGGAAATGTTCTAAACTCAATAGAATCATCGAAATACGAATTTGAGGTCTCCTTGATCCGACATCCATGAAATCCACAAGAAACTAACACAACACCTAAAAAGGCTAAAACAAGCTTGGGACCTCTCAAAAATCAATCAAAATCTCACATAGGCCTAAAATCATCCCTCGAATCCAATGGAACTCTCAAAATTCCGATCCGAGCAACTGAACCCCGAATGTTGACCAAAGTCAACCCAAAGGCTAAATTTCCATAATTTCACAACTTAAAATCTCAAATCCTCAAAAAGGGTCTGAATCTAAAACCAAAAACTCTCATAGACCATATTCCACATTTTGAGACTGATGGGATCGATGAAATTCCATTCTGACCCTCGAAACTTTAAAAAACACCAGAAACTACTTTCTTAACAATATTAACCTTTCAAACATAAAGTTATAAAATTCTCAACTTTAAACTCAAAGATAAAAGACTCGGGGTCGATATCGAGATGGGCAAAATGGTAAATTTACGAAATATTCCAAAAATGACCGATCAGATCATTACATTCTCCACCACTAAAAACCATGTTCGTCTTTGGACATAAGCAAAAAAAAGTACATGAAGCCTCGATAAGCTGAGGATATTTGGCATGCATATTTGACTCTGTCTCCATAGTCACCTCACCAAGTCAATGGTGTTTCCACTGCACCTTCACTGAAGCAATATCATTACTTCTAAGCTTTTGGGCCTGCCTATCCAAAATTTCTATCGGATCCTCCTCAAAAGATAAGTCTGGACCCAACTCAACTGAATCAAGAGAAAGTATATCAGACTCCTCTGACACGCACTTCCGAAGCATGGAGAAATGAAACACAAGATGCACAGTTGACAAGCTAGGTGGTAAGGCCAACTTATAAGCCAACTCTCCCCTTCGACTCAAGATCACAAAACGTACAATGAATCTAGGGCTAAGTTTGCTCTTCTTTACGAACCTCATCACACCTTTTATGAGTGATATTCGGTGCCAAACATGATCACCTTTCATTAACACTAGGGCTTGAACTCTCTAATCCGCATAACTCTTCTGTCGATTATGGGATGCCAACAGTCTACCCTAGATCATACAAACTTGCTCCAAAGCATCTCCAAGAAAGTATGTATCTAATGAGTCCATCTCAGCTGAATCAAACCATCCCATTAGAGATCTACACTGTCTATCATACAACATCTGAAATGGGGCCATCTGAATACTGGAACGATAATTGTTATTGTAGGCAAACTCTCCTAAGGGAAAATGTCGATCCCATCTAGAACCAAAATCGATCACACAAGCTTGGAGCATGTCCTCCAACACTTGAATCATCCGCTCGGACTGACCATTTGTGAGAATGAATAGTTGTACCCATATCCAACCGAGTACCCAAGTCATGATGTAATGCCTTTTAGAAATGGGAAGTGAACAAAGAACCTCAATCAGAGACAATAAAAATTGAGACACCATGTAGTCGCACAATCTGACTGATATAAGGCTCAACTAACTTCTCCATTGTATACTTCACCCGAATCGGAATGAAATGAGCGGACTTGGTCAACATGTCCACAACCAACCAAATAGAATCATAACCACCCATGGTGGTAGGTAGCCTCACAATAAAGCTCATAATAATATGTTCCCACTTCCAAGTAGGAATATACATCCTCTGAGATATACCTCTGGGTCGTTGGTGCTCACACTTGACCTGTTGGCAAGTCAAACACCTAGAAACAAAATCGGCAACTCGCCTACCTTGGGCACACAAATCCCTTTTCATTTAACATCACCAATAGTGTTGGAACAGATCATGATACATCCTCGTCTCCCCCAGATGGATGGAATAGCGGGAACAATGGGCTTCCTCAAGAATCAATCTAATCAACTCGCCTACCTTGGGCACACAGATCCTACCCCGAATCATCAAGACACCATCAGAATCAAGGACAACCTCATTGGCTTCCCCTCTCATCACCTTGTCTCGAATGAGACACTTTTCGTTATCAAACTGACGCTCGTGAATCTGCTCAACTTGGGAAACCACCCGTCTCCTCAGAAATCTGTAACCAGACGAGACTGTTGGTTAACCTCTGAACGTCTCTAGCTAATGGCCTCTCCTACCCACTAATAGCGGAAAGAATCCCCATGCTAGAAGTCTTCATTCTCTGAGCATTGGTCACCACATTAGCCTTATGTGAATGATACATGATGGTGATGTCGTAGTCCTTTAGTAGCTCAAGCAGTCTGTGTTGCCTCAAGTTTAGATCCCTCTGCCTGAAGATGTACCAAAGACTCCGATTATCTGTGAAGACCTCACAATGAACCCCATACATATGATGTCGTCATAGCTTAAGCACAAACACTACATCTGCAAACTCTAAATTATAGGTAGAAAATTTCCTCTCATGTGTTTTCAACTATTTTGAAGCATAGCGATCACCTTACCTTTCTGCATCAGAACACTACTTAACCCGACTCTAGAAGCATCACAATAAACAGTGACGTCCACACCCTCCTCGAGTAAAGCCTAAATAGGAGTTGAAGTCAACAAGGTCTTGCACTTTTGAAAGCTCTTCTCACACTCATCAAACCACTTGAAGCTCACACTATGCCGAGTCAATCTGGTCAAATGAGATGCAATAGTAGATAAGCTATGCACAAATCGTCTATAATAACGTGCAAGTCCCACAAAACTCCGGATCTCAGTAGCTGATGTAGGTATGGTCCAACCTCTAATTGCCTCAATTTTGGTTGGATCTACCCGAATACCTTTCTTGAACACTACGTGTCCCAAAAATTCCACGAAATCAAGTCAAATCTCGCACTTTGAGAACTTGACATAAAACACTAACCCTACTATAGCAAACCAACCCGTTATAGTGGCGTCACCATAGTGGCCGACCCGTTATAGCGGTAATTAATTCATCCTGCTTTAGCGGCGTGACACCTGCTATAGCGACTTGCATAGAGACATGGACTCATAAATCCTTCCTCTAACCCCCATTTCGCAACACACCTTCGAATCTTCACTTTCTAAAATAACCCCTTCATGCCAAATCTAATACTAGAGTTTTACTCACCATAATTCAATGTCGAAAGACCCTATGAATTTCTTAATGTCTTAGCTACTAGAAAACACGATCTAAGCTCAGACATATCACCCCATCCATTCCTAGATTTTCCTAGACCTTGCCTCTCCCAGATTTTGTCTAAGACTAGCCTAGCCAAGATTTTTTAAGTCATTATTCTATAAAGTTCTTTCACTATTGGTCTAGTCATAACGATCGGAAGAGGTCATTACATCAACCATCTCATTAGAGAGTTGTGTACTATCCACATTGTCATTGGTCTGATTTTCATTGTTATGTATCTCGCTTATCATAAATAATTCCTATAAAATAAATAATATTACAACTAGTAAGTGAGTTAAATTAACACACAACTGCTCTGGCACTGCAGTGAGTGTCGAATTATTTATTGAAAAATTGATACATTAGATTTTATGTAAGGTCAAGAACATTCGTCTTAGCTTAACTTCCTAAATTAGGTTATTTATTAGTTGAATATGTTGATAAAAGCAAGTACAAATGAAAAGTAAATGAGATAGCAAGTAATAAGCAACACGCATGAAACACCACAACATTGGTGATGTTTGTATGAGATAAGATCTAATGTTGTTTGAATTTTGTTTGCTTTGAATCTGAAAACAATGTAATGAACAAAATGCTAAAAGGCAAAGACTTGATAAAAATATGAAAAGCTTGAGCCACAAGAATATAAATATGATGATATTGTACTCCTTGTGATCTATTTAATTACCTTATAATTATGTAAAAATTCTTATTTATAGGTTGCAAAATCATATAATATACATGGATAAGCACATGACACAACCAAAGAAGGCTCAAAGAAGATCGATTAACCAAATAAACCTTGCTGCTCAGGATTTTTGTCACTCTATACTCTTTTTTAACTTAAAAATTAGAACTAATTTTTTTAAATAAAACACCTAAGCCTAGTCTCGAACCCAAGCCTCCAAGGCGAATTTGAACAGCCTTAAACACTAGGCTATCTTTCTTTAGTATGCCATAGGTGTGCAACAATTAGTATATATCCAAAAATATTGATATTTAACATATATATATACTTGCAAAAAATTTCCGACAAAGGTTATTCATCTGACCATCCTTGTTAAGGTGTAGCTCCGCCCTTAGGGTGGCACTACTAACAACATCTTCATATGGAAATCGTCCTTGGTTATAGTATTTTAGGGCTTGATAGAAGATTTTCTATTGAGTAGAAGCTGACAGAAGCAACTAACTCTTCGTCGATATCCCTACTTTTAACCAAGGATATTTATGGAATTTTGTACTTTCTCCATTTTAATTTTCTTGTTTTATATTTTTTTAATTTATTCATTTGAAAATTACATAAAAATAATATAAATCACAATTATTAACAAATTAAAAATTTAAATGACATAAAAATTTGATTGACTCTCATAATTCTATCAATGTCACATAAATTAGGCCGAGTTAGTAACACATATTATTTGAAAATGATGTAAAAAGTAATATAAATCACAATATATAATTAACAACTTAAATAAGCAGACACCTCATCGTCGATGTGTCTGCTTCTACCGAGAGTATTTATAGATTTTTTGTATTTTCTCCATTTTAATTTGTTTGTCTTTCTTGTCTTTTTAGTCTGCTATATATATTTAAAAATTACATTTAAAAAATATTATAAATCACAACAATAAACAAATTAAAAAATTTAAAAGCATATTTAAAAATTTTGGTTGACTCTCAAAATTCTACCAATGCACATAGATTAGGACAGAGGAGTAACATATATTATGTGAATTGTACATAAAAAGTAATATAAATCACAATAATTAACAACATAAAATATTTAAAATACATAAAAAGTTTGGTTGACTTTTGAAATTCTATTTGTGACACATAAATCGGGACAACGGGAATACTATATATTATTTTAAAATTACATAAAAAATACTATAAATCACAATAATTAACAATTTAAGAAACGATACAAATTTTGGATTTGAATGATAAGTATTGACCATGTAAAAAATATTGGCTATGAAGTCTTTAAAAAATCATTCAAAATTATAGAGGCTGGGCAGGGAACTATATATGAGAGCTACACATATCTACCAACATTAAAAGCTACTATGTAATATGAACTACATACAATGAATAGTAATGCTTTCATGCTTTGTGGATGCTTCTTGTTATACTTAATTACGTGTAAACATTATTAACTATTAAGTTTCCTAAAAGGTGATTATGCTTGATTAAAATTGAAAATTTCCAATTTATGTTTTACTTTTTCTTTTCTTTTTAGTCTGTCGCAAAAAAATAATAATTACCTTTATATAATAAAAAAAATTAATTTTCAAAAGATTTTTTTCGTTCGAATGAAAGGATTTTATTTAAAGATTAAAGTTCATTTATATAAAAAGAAACTGATCCGTATGATACAGTTTCATTAATGTCTTTTCGATTGCATTAGATTCAAAAGAAGAGATTATTTCAAAAAGATAAAATAATTTTTAGTCTTATAAATATTAGAAAATTATTTTAAATATGCAAAAAAAAAATAATCTTAAATAGTATCAATATAAATGAGAGAGAGTAAGCTTCACAAAGAGGACAAAAATATATAGTAATACTTCCTCCGTCCCGTTTTATGTGGCACCATTTTCTTTTTGGTCAGTCCCAAAAGAAATGTCACATTTCTTTATATGATAAGTTTATTAAGGTACAATTCCTCTTTTATCCTTATTGGTCCCACTTAATCTTAAAATAATACTCCAATACATTTATGAGAAGAGAGAAAAAAGAGTCTACTTTTTAAAGGGTAATTTGATAAGCATTTCAAAGTCTTCATTTATTTCTTAAACTCTGTGCCCGATCAAATATTGCCACATAAAATGGAACGGAGGGAGTACTATGTATAGAAACTATCTAATCATGCCTTACTTCACTGTCAGAGAGGAGGTAGTCATGCATGTTGTTAGGGGGGCTTCTTTATTGAAAGTGACTAAAGAGTTTGATAATTTAATGGGTCCCAAACTTTTAAAAAATTGGATAGAAGTACTAAAAGATATATTAATATTTTAGAAGGTTATTTAATTATGAATTATTATTATTTTCAGAAAATCATTTTATTTTAGTGTTTAACTCAATAATCACTTAATTATGGAATTTTTTTTATAGACAGTTATTCAGCTTTGATTTTTAACTCAAAAATTATTTAAGTATGAGTGTTTTACTTACATAGTCATTTAATCTATTTAATTGATTTTCAATCAAAATATAGTGACATAAATTTTTTATTTTTAATCAAATGTTGAGAAATAAAAATATATCCATTTATTTTTCAATCATACTTGAGTGAATTTTGAGTTAAATAAATAAAGTTAAGTGACTTTCTAAGGAAATAGTTTATAATTGAGTGATTTTTGAGTTAAAAATTAAAGTTGAGAAAAGAATTCATAATTAAGAAAATATCGTAGATATTATCTCATAATAAAAAGGTGATTAATATTTATTGGGTAAACCTTTTTTGAGAGGATGATTAACATTAATTGGGTGAAACTTTTTTTACCTAAAAAAGTTATGTTGTGCCTCGCATGATTGGCAATAGTTATGTGAGAATTTTTTGTATGTTGAACTTCTCATTTTATTTTATTTTTGCTTTACCTTTTTTATTTTATTGGAATATTGACATTATGAGTGATAAATATATGTTTATCAAATTTATGAGTGATATTTTAGGTATGTTTTTCACATTTTTAATAGTTTAGATATAAAATTTTAAAAAAGAAGAAGATAGTTTCTTATATTAATGAGTGATAGTTTAGTTGTATTTCTCACCCCTCCAATAATTTAGGCATGAAACTTTGAAAGAAAGAAAAAACTTTAGGTATATTTTTTATACTTGACTCTTGATTAAAAGGCATTATTTATAATTCTCATAGTTACATGATTAAGAGTCTTAAGGGTCCATTCGACCATGTGAAATGAAATCACGTTATGTAATTATATGAGATAAATCAAAATTATGCTTGGATATACAATTTAACTTTTAAAGTTTTATTTTTTTTCTTATGTAAAACCTCCATAAGTTGTGAACTATTAAATTGTTCTATATACAATCTTAACAAATAAATAAAAGTTTATAACAAAATTATGATACACTATCACAAAGGTATTTTTAAAAAGATATATATATTTATTAATCAAACTTTAGTTCAATTAAAAAGTAAAATTAAACATAAGTTACAATGCACTATTCTTTA